TATATATAATTTAAATAATTTTGAATGGCTTTTTGTCATTTTTATTACTTTAAAGATCTAGTTAGCTTCATTTTTTATATCTATAATTATAAATTATTTTATTTCATTTTTAGTTTTAGTTATTTTAATACTTCACATTAATTTATTTTATTTTGAATAGTTGATTACACAACTTCTTAAATAATTTCAAGGTACACTAATCAATTTTTGCCAAACGATGTTGATATTTGAAAGCACCAAAACAAACACGCCCATATCCCGACAGGACCTTGCCCTTATTTTGAAATCTCCGTACGTACGCATCCATGGCAACGACGATGGCGGAAACAAGTGAAGATGACACACAAGCATATTCAAACAAAAACCAGCACGGATAAGTTGTATGAAATTAAGCAAAATCAATGTTACTCACCTATCAAGATGAAACAATGCAACCTCTGCGTTCAATTCCATGCCTTCCCGCTCCTTGAGTTCTCTCCAGCGTTGGAAAGCTCCTCCGATATTTACGCAGGTCCTACCTCTTGCCTGATTGTAACCCTTCTTTTTAATGTTTTGTTTCTCTGATATTTTCCTCTTATTTATCTTCCATCTCTTTCTAGCGATAGTCGATCTGAGCACTCAAACTGAGCTCTCTCTCTCTCTCTCTCTCTCTGTCATTACAAGACACGCCCACTTACTGCTGATTGGCTACAAGTGTGTTTTAGGACTCGGTCCAACACTGTGGTCAAAAGCGTTTTTCAAAAATCGCTTAGTGCACCTTTAATTTTAGCTTTTTAGATTTTCATCTAATATTTAGAATGTATTTTAAGATTTATTTTAATTACTGAATAATTAAATAAATAATTGAATTATTTTATTTGTAGTTTTTGTTAATATCAGCAAGCTTATTATTATTATTATTTCAAAGCATTATTATGGAATAATACCTACTGTTTATTTATTTTTAATAATTAGGCAGCATTGAGTAAAACGATTTGTGTTTTATACAAGAGAAACAATGAGGAAAATCATAAAGATTATTTTGATTATATTTTATCTCATTTGAATATAACAGAACTGTGTAAAGTTCTGTTCAAAGGTAAGATTTTGTATTAAAGGCAGTTTCTCACTATAATTTAATATAAATGGCAGTGTAAATGAAATCAATGTTTTCAGTTTGTGTCCCTCACTGTTTCTGACTGTAACTATCAGTATTGATAAATCACACAGAGAATGACTGACAGTGATATGTCTGATGTGTTTGATCAACAGCATGAGTGTCATAATTTATAATAATCTGTGTTGGGTTCACTCTTGATCATTATATGCACATCAGAATAACAGCATCTGTTAATTGTGTCTCATCAGCTCCTGTGATTCTGGATCCAAACACGGCTCATCGATCTCTCGTTCTGTCTGATGATCTGACCAGTGTGAGAGTCAGCCGTTATCAACCTGTTCCTCATAATCCAGAGAGATTTGACTGTTATTCCTGTGTTCTGGGTTCAGAGGGTTTTAACTCAGGAACACACTGCTGGGATGTTGAGGTTAAACAGAGTAAATACTGGAGTCTTGGAGTAACTACAAACCAGAGGAAGGGACGTGATTTCTATAAGACTGGTGTATGGTGTGTGGAGTATCATCAGTACAGAGTGTCTTTAGGTTCTGGTTTTCGTGTTAAACAGCAGCTTGATCGAGTGAGAGTGAATCTGGACTATAACAGAGGAACAGTGTTATTCTCTGATCCTGTAACTAACACACATCTACACACATTCACAACCTCCTTCACTCACACATTCTTTCCTTTCTTCTGTAATTATGATTCGTCTTCTCTGAGGATCTTATCGATCAGTAGTCAGTAATCTGTAGTTCTGGATCTTCCTGCTTTCATCTTTCATCATGTTTCAATATTTAAACCAGATCACATGAGTAAGAGACTGTTGATCTGAACATCAGATCAGAAACAAGTACATTTATTCATCTTTAAAAATGAAAAATTATTAAAACACGTGATGAAGGGTTAAAATAAATCATCTTAATCAGATCTGACCAATGAGAAACAGAAATGTGTTCCTGTCCATAACACCCTAGCAACAACATAGCAACCATCCATAACACCCTAGCAACCACTCAGTACACCCTAACAAACACCCAGAACACCCTAGCAACCACTCAGAACAGTCTAGCAACCGTGTAGCAGCATGTATTTACAGCAGAGGCCTTCCAAGTTGATCCAAAACATTCTGATAGAAATGCAGTTAAAAATAATAATAAGTGGACAGAAATCACATCAGTGCAAAACATAGAGAGTATTTTAACAGGGTACACCAAATGAAGAATTTAAAAAATATGTCTCGTATCTTATTTGTTATGTGCAGCGTTGGGCAAATTACTCCGAAAATGTAATTAAATTACTGATTACTCCTTTTAAACGTAATCACGTTACTGTTCTGATTACTTTATTTCAAAAGTAATTAGTAATTAGTTACATTACTAGTTATGTTACTTTTTTCTCCATGAAATGTAAGAAATCCCAGCATACACGCTCCAGATAAATATTTGTTATTAAAGCATCAACATTCACACTAACGCAGCGAACATATATAAAGCCTACATAGAAACTCTGCATACGCTTGCACCTGTTAATCGTTTATATTTATATTAGTTCATGTTGCTTTTGTGCAATAGATGAATAACAATTTATTTGTTTTAGTCTGTTGCGTCGGGTCTCGCGGGAGCAGGTCTCTAATCTACTGGCACTTGACTCAACAGCAAGTGTGCTATATCCTTTTTACAATCTCTAGATTATTAAACACTGCATTCTGTCAGAAATGTAATGCGGCAGTAACGTATAGAGACCTCGGCTTGTACGTGCGGAACTTAATCCGTTTCAGTTCATAGCCGTGAATAAATC